CTTCGGCCAACAGATCTTACTTGAATCTTTCCCTATATTATGAGTTTCAAAATTTCATATTTTGTTACCCCCACATCACGTGTCCTAGGTATTCCAGTTTTCTGGTTTGTATAGTGGTGATTAGTTCTGTTGTAGTTTGTTGTCCCAAGTGTATTGTACATCTAATGATAATATACTTAATTATGAAACATACCAGGCTTGATAAAACACAGTGATCATCATGATACAAAGAGAGCTCATGGCTTGTGTTTATAGTCAAAAGCTGTACGTCTCAATTACGTAAACTCTCCATTAAGACAACTCTTTGGAAACATTTGAAACAAAGAATTCTATTGTCGGTATCTCGGAAGGAGATTCTTAACGCCAAATAGATTAAGAAGCACATCCAGCATCACCTTTTCTAAAGAAATTCAATTTACATTTGATCAAACGTCTATTAGGTCAAATGAGGTTAGGTCAAATTACGATAGTCAAATGTATTTAGGCATGTTACATATCTATCAGTCTGAAGATTCTTACACAAACTTGCCTTTGAAATAAATAGTCTGGAGATCGACCTGTTTCAGGTTTTTTTCACATAGTACATAATAACGCTAAAAATGAATTTATTCCATACATATGGACCACATGGTATGTCTGGAGACCTATTGTGTACATTTCATAGTTTATCTTATTCACAATGAATATTAATGAATCTCTTAGATCGGTCGGTAACATTTGGTCATTATATTTGGTTATATCGTTTTATAATAGGCGCTTCATATTGGTGAATACTAATTGAAACCATTACAGTAATAATGAAAAACAGTGTCAAATAAAAATACACCTCTAAAAGTTATATTGCACAATTAACATCATTTTGGGTCGTCCATTTTTTTGCTTTGTGTAATAATTATAGAAACCCTACACATTTTTAAGTTGTTTTCATTATTACCCTTATTTTGGCTAATATTTTTGGAAATTTTTTAACAGTAAACTAAAAGTAAAACATGTGTTTTTGTTTCATAAACAATAAACTATTTTTTTGTTATTTTTAAGATATTCTCTAAATAAAAGAAAGTTGTATTATTTTCATATACTCTTATAGTACTTTTTTTTTAATCTCGTAAAATAGATGACATAGTAGGTTTGGTCGAAATGTCCATAATGAGAATTTTACTTTGATGCTATATTTAGCGATATAGGTACCCACCATACTGAACGCAATAATTAATACAACGAACTTTAAATTCGAAACGAATACTGAAGTAAATATAATCATTTATTACACTCAGCTATTATTAAATATATTCGAGAAAAATTATATAAAAAAGTATTTTCTACATCAAATACCATTTTTCTCTTCGGTTAATTAAATATGTCTAATCTATTTCATCTAAAATAATAGTAGTCAAATTTTATATATATATATATATATATATATATATATATATATATATATATATATATATATACCGGGTGGTGAATCGTCAAACGGACCATAGGAAACTCAATGGTAAATTCTAAATTGTTGAATTCCTGCTTCCCTAATTATTTTACACCAAAAGTCATGGGAAACTATTTGTAGAGGACTCAAATATGTATCGAAAACAACTGTTAAAATTATTCTACGACTTAAACGTATTCCAAAATTTTGCTAAAATATAATACATTTTTCAGGCCACCCCTAAAAGTTAGGCCACACGTAATGCAAGAATATATATTATTACGTTTGTGTTTTATCATATTTATGTCAGATGTTTGACAATTTGAATTGTCAATTTTTTTATTTTATGATTAAATTATAAACAATGAGTTTTACTAAATACTACTACTAATGAACATTATTACTTTGTGAACAATAAATTATATTGTTTACAAATCGATCAATATAAATGTACTCAGTTGACGAAAAATCGCATAATGTGGTACTCAGGCAATAGCGCGAACCTTTTCCTGCCACTACCGGATCTTTATTTAACGTAAGATATTCTAATTCACTAAAATTTAATTCCATGTTAAGTTATACAACAATTCAATGAATTCCAATATACTGTTACTGTGATCTTTATTTCTAATAATAATATATGATAATTTATAAACATAAAACTATAACAAATGTTATAATAAAACATGAATAAAAAATTTTTATTATTGCTTTTTTCTCCTCAACTGAGTACATTTTTTAATCAACCTAATTTTTTTTTAACAATAAATCACAAAATTTTGGCCATTTAAATCATAGATAAATGTAATATAATTGATTTAAATATTGTCAAATATCAGAAACAATAATATGACAAAACGCAACACGTAATACACATTTTTTCACAGAAATATGTATATTTTTTAGCAAAATTTTGGAATACCTTTAAGTCGTAGAATAATTTTAACAGTTGTTTTCGATACATATTTGAGTCCTCTACAAATAGTTTCCCATGACTTTGGGTGTAAAATAATTAGGGAAGCAGGAATTCAACAATTTAGAATTTCCCATTGAGTTTCCTATGGACCGTTTGACGATTCACCACATATATATATATATATATATATATATATATATATATATATATATATATATATATATATATATATATATATATATATATATATATGGTATAATTTGCTAGAATTGCAAAAGACACTAACAACAATTGCTTATAAATATATAATGTATAAAAACGATGTATAAATATATAAAAGCAAAGAAAAATTATTACTATACTTATAAATAGAATGAAAATAATCGTCACTCAAGATATGCATCAAATGAAAGCTCTCAATTAAAAAAAACAAATTTGGGCGCCTCATCCAATTTTACCTGTATGCAATTGCCGAGATAATCGGAAAAAACCACTAAGGTCACTAGGCTGAAATAGCAATCTACGTAACAAGTTCCGAAAGTGATATTTTACGAGACGAGTAGGAAGTTTCCAGGGCGAGCCGTAGGCGAGTCTTGGAATCATGCGAGAGGATTATGCTCTTTCCTTAATCAAGCAGAACCCGTGGGTATAGTGGATTTAACATTACCGTCAACTCCGACTCTGAGTATAACGTGGATCTGCACAATCGGATATTTTGATTGCGAGAGCGTTTGGACTGAGTTGGAAGCAAGGATAAGTCTGCGTGCGATCGAATTCGCGTATTTCATTTTCTGTTAGTAATAATAATTTTTCTTTTACAGACGTCCTCCAAGAAATTCACTCTCGCGGGATCCAGGCGGGGATGTAGAATATATTTTATTTTAACTTTTGTACATACGTTACAATTAATAGATTTATTTTTATTTCAACCTGTGTTTTACTGAGTATATCGCTTCGAAAGAGCTACCCGTCACAAACTTCTTATCTTCAGCTTCTGATAAAAATTTATATATTTCCTCTTTATTCAATACTTTTGATTCTTTTGGTTTGTAGCCGATGGATTTTCTTTTGAGGAAAGCAATAACTTTTGAAAAGCAGCTTATGTCTATATGATTTTAAATGTTAAGTGTAAACTTAAGCATCGAGTAATTGCTCCAAGGCTTGATGGCTTTAAGATATTAAGATTTTTTAAAAGTATGTACTTTCGGTACGAGTTGTGCAAAATAATACTTTCGATTTAATAAATCATACCGAAAGTTTTATTTTCGGGACGGCTGCAGAAAAAAAATAATATCAGCGTAGACACCTACATTTCTTTTGGAATGACAATGGAATTCTTTTGAAAATAATCTTGGCGTTTTTAAAATAAAAACAGTTAAAATGTTGCTTTTCATAAAGTGCAGATATCATCTCTTAATTTTTGCTTATATAATGAGTGTGGTCATCTCCCTTTGAATTATCAAAAAATATTTTATGTAAAATCTGTTAGTCCTTACAATTATAAATAGATACATATTTTTAAATTCAGTATATTAGGAAAAGCCGTTGTTCTACAATATATGAATGTTGCAGAATTCCTTTAATCAATATATGTAACAACACGCTTACAATGTTACGATATGTTAGTTTCAATATTTTTTACCTACAATACAACTTCCTTTTAAAAGAGTAGTTTTCAACAAATTAATTTGTCTAAAATACAAAGTACAGAACTTTAATAAAATTCATTATCACTAGAATGATTAGATCCTCCTTCCAAATCTATATTAGATATGTTGGACATCGTTATTTGTACAGCTAAACTGATGTTTTTCGCCGATAATTCTGAAGACATTCCTGTAAAAATACAATTAGAAAATGTAACTTAAGAAAAACCCAATTTGTGCTGAACATATCTTAAAAAAATTATATAACAATAAAACACTGAAAACGTTGTTTTCGAAACTTCCACAAAATTTATTATAAAATCACTACAGCTATTTCGACATAGTGCCTTTCTTAAGTGATCTATTATTGATATGCGTTCACACTTTATAGTCTTTAACGAAATAGGTTGAGGAGGGGAGAAGTGTTTGTCTCAAGTTGGTAAAACATATTAAGACAGGACGTTTGAGGTGGATAGGGCATGTAATGCGGATGGAACAAAATGATCCAGCTAGAAAAAACGCTCCTTGATATACCATTGGTCATAGAAGAAGAGGAAGACCTAGAAAAAGGTTCCTTGATAACATCGATGGAAACATGAGAAATATGGGAGTACGTACTTGGCGGAGAAAGACGATGAATAAGGACGACTGACGTTTTTGATAGGCAATTTAAAAAAAACATTTAATTATTTGTTTTCTCAAGAGCAGTGATATCCTAAGTTAATAATATCAGTGATATACTCGTAAAATTATTAATTTGTTTATTATTTTTGCAAACACCTCTTTTGTATCAGCATTTTTCATATATATGCGCATACTTGCTCATCTTTAATTATAAGTAATCTTTTATTCCAGTGAGTTTGATAATAGATACAATTGTTTCAAAAAATATAAAGTTAAAACAAAAACTTAAATATTAGATAATTCGGTGATAAAGTCCACAACGTCGTAGACGACAACAGTCCAAAAATAATCAAATGTCGGTCAGAACAAAGAATAATAGAGCTGTTCATGAATCATATTTTACTACAAATAAAAAAAATATACTAAAACATTTAATAATACATCAGTACTCAAAAATATTTTTAATTCACATTATACAATACTGCAAACCATGTCAGGTATTAGTTTTTTCTTTCCTTTGGAATGGGAATTGGGATCGGGTATTTTTTTAATTTCGTTAATTCTACAATCAGCTTTCATTAACACAATCTTAGAGTCATTACGAACTAACTCTAGAACTTGAACTTCTTGATCAACGGTTTGGGACAGGGAACAGTTTGGTAAACCAGCATTCGGTCTCTCTAGCCTACATTTTACAAAAAAATCTGATTTGAAATGAAAATCATTTATATAATTTTGTAATAGTAGTTTAATAATTGGTTCAGTTTTTCCAAGAATGACTTCCTTGCATGTTTCTTTTAACTGTATTACTTTGGTTGTATCTACGATATGATCTGATTCCTTTGTTATACTGATTTTGACTTTTTTCTTTACCGCGTTCACAGAACTACTAACAAAAATGTTATTAGATTCAAAAGTTTTACCTTTTTTAATTTTCGAAAGTCTTGACTTCAAACCTAGATCTCTTACAACAGTCTCTACAGAATTTTTAAGAAGTAGTTTATATTCAGGTGTTGATTCGGTAAGACATTTTGTTAGGAATCTTTTGAAATCGGCTTTAGACGTTTTTCCTGTCAGGTGTCTTTTCAATAAAAACTTTAAGTTACATTGATGGCATTTATGTTGCAATTTAAAACATTCTCTACAGTTACTTACCGAGATTAATGAATCTTTAGAGTTTCTTAAATCGGTTAGGGAAAGGCAACTCTTAGATTTGTGTAACGTGGTACCTAATGGTTCCGGATCAGTCTCAAGATCAATTTTTGACTCTGGGGTTTCCGTTAGAAAATAATTAGAATTTGCATTGTCGTCTAATATTATAAATGGTACTTTTCTATGATTGTCTGGTGTATATTTATGGTTCACTTTGGAAATTTTGGGAATGTACGGCTGATACGTTTCAGTTTCTTTGTTTTGGGGAGTAACTTGTAAACGTAGGAATTCATTCAAATAATCTAGAGAAAAAGAAGAGATTATATAAAATACTACATGGGTGTAATGCTAACTAAAGATAAAAAAGGAAACAAATTTAATTACTTTGGATAAATATAATCTCAACCAAAAACAGAAAAACTCATCAATAGCAATTGGGAGGGGGGATATTGGACCGTCTGGGGAACCTGTGCCCGTACCTTGTGCTATTCTACGACAGAGTACACGTGTCAGGTCATACTGAACAAGATCAGGCTGTATGAAATCAACTACAGTGGAAATACCCTATACAGCCGCCGATTTTACTAGCTCATCTGTCTCAGAAAAGAAGAAGAATTCAGACGAACCAAGCAGACAATTGATGAACGCCACGCTTTTTTGGGAGCCGAATGAAAATCCTAAAGATTTACACCCCGTCGCTGATTCCTAGATGTGACCTTGGAAAGTCGACCTGCTAACTACCTACTCGTCGAGAAGCTAAGCGACATAAGCTCAAGTGGATAGTTGAACACAACCAAATATTGGCATCATCAGAGAAAACCAACCAAATAAATTGTGAATATAGAATATGTACTGACCTTATCTTACTTAAAACTGGAGATCTTACTTAGCAACCGTAATATTAGCAATTTACAGAAGAATCGTAGGATGCTATGTCATCTCAAGGGTCGACAGGATGGGTAGACCTAGTATGTCCAACCTCAACAAAATATTGAAAAATACACATAATGAAAACCACTAAGATCATTCTAATACGAACACTTGTGTAACCATTAGAATCGTAGATAGGAAAACAATTGAGGGGCTGAGAGGAAAAGTGGTACAAGTGACATTTTGTATAAAAGTGAGATATGTGCATGAGTGGCTAGAGGATGTTGAGATTTATTAATATAAAAATGGTACAAGTACAAAACACACTACAGTACGGACATCTGTATGTGAGAAGTAAAAGCTCTCACCAATTTCTGGTAATGGTTTTCTGTATAAGTGGTCCAAGCGTACATGTCCCACTTTTGTTCTAAACTTTATGTAGTTGTTTGTGACAGCCACGTTTTAAAAGTGTGCAGGAATATTAATACAATTTGTGAAATAGCCTTAAAATAATGCAAGGTAAGTCTTCAATGCGTTTTATATTTTTTCAATTGTTATTTTATAGGGTTATTTTATTTATCTATGTCTTCAAAAAGTAGTAGTTGAAAGAAACTTATAGCATAACCTTAAAATGTTTCTTTTTTGTTTCAGAATCTGACAGTTATTCGGAATATGACGATTCAGAAGAGGACAGAAACTATAATCCAATTGAAGAAAGTAGTAGCGATAGTAATTATGATCTACAAAACATTGCAGATGTTCATTTAAACAAGTCATTAAAGAAAAAGGGCAAAAAACGTTTGAGATATAGCGATTTAGATAAGAGGCAAGTAAGAAAACGAAAAAGAAATGCAGGTGAGGAATACGTAGGCTATAAAAACAAGTTAGTAAAAGCAAGAAGTTTGCAAAATTATATACATACTTGCAGATTTCAGTGTCAAAAATTCACCGATGAACAAAGACAGGAAATATTTAACCAATTCTGGGGTCTAGGAAATTGGAATCTGCAGAATGCATTCATTACGTCTTGTACAGAGATCGCTTTGCCCAAACGACGACGTACAGAAGCTGTTACTAATAAAGAAAAGAGCGTTACTATCAAACTAAAAAATATGAGAGTTTGCAAAATGTTTTTCTTAAAAACCTTGGATATCAGCAATGGACGTTATTCGAGAATTTTAAATGGGATATCTGACGTTGGAATCACCGCTGTTGATAAAAGAGGAAGAGCTCCATGTCCTAATAAACTATCACAGGATGTAATTGATAAGGTAAAACGACATATTGATATGTTTCCAAAATATACCAGCCATTACACCAGACATTACAATCCCCGTAGACGGTACCTTCCTTCATTTTTGACCATAAGAAAAATGTCTGTGTTACCTAGAGCATTGTCAAGAAAATAACGAAGCTCCTGTCAAGGAATGGTGCTACAGGAGAGTGTTTAATACCGAATTTAATCTAAGTTTTCATCATCCCTTGTCCGATACTTGTAATAAGTGCGATAAGTTCGAAACATCAATAAAATCGTGCATAAGTGAGTCAGATAAAAAGAAAATAATGTGCGAGAGAGAGCTTCATCATCGAAAAGCCGAATCGGGAATACAAGTCAAAAAAGAGGCAAAAATAGTGGCTGAAACTTCAAGGAATGAAGAAGTGGTATCAGTTTGTTTCGATCTACAAAAAACTTTACCTACACCAGCACTTACAACCAACAAAGTGTTTTATATCCGAGTATTATGGACATATAATTTTGGAATCCATAATTTGGGCAAGAAATGTGCTTCAATGTATATGTGGGATGAATCGGTAGCATCCAGAGGCTCTATGGAAGTATCTTCATGTCTTTGGAAATTTATTGCTGGTCTTAATCAAAATACACGACATCTTATTGCATTTAGTGATTCTTGTTCGGGACAAAATAAGAATAAAAATATTGTGAAATTTTTTATGTATGTGGTTAAAGAAACTCAGCTAGAAATAATAGACCACAAATTCCTTGAACCGGGACATACCTTCATGGAATGCGATGAAGATTTCGGAGTCATTGAAAAGTACAAAAAGCAAGTACCTTATATTTTTGTACCCAGTGAGTGGATGAATGCTGTGAGAAACAGTTCTAAGAAGTTTAAATGTGAAGAAATGAAGATGGAGCACTTCATTTCACTCGAAAACTTCAACGAGTACGTGCAGGAAAATATTAAAAAGGATGATGGGAATAAGCAGATAAAATGGAGAGAAATAAAATGGATTCGGTTTGAGAAGAAAGACCCATTTACTATGAAATTCAAGTACACTCTCAATGAAGAGACTGAATTTATAACTGTTAACTGTATGAAGAAGATGCGTGGAAGAACACCTCAGAATATTAGTCTTAGCAAACTGTATAGTTCACCCATGAGTCTGAAGTATGAAAAATGGAAGAATTTACAAGACCTACTATGCTTTGTGCCACCCATTTACCATCAATTTTACAATCAGCTCAATCACACTGCGAAGAAGGAAAAACAAGGTCAGAAAAAGAAGCCAATGCAACCTGAAGAAAGAAAAGAGAAGGACAATGAAGATGACGATGAGGTAGACGACAATGATAAAATACTTTTGAGCGACTATGATGATGAGGAAGATATTTAGCTCAGTTGGTAGCACGTCTATATAATATCATTTCGTTATTATTTTTATGCATTTTTTGTTCCTGTATTTTTGTGCAATATACATTTATTTTCGTATCTAATGTAGCTTCTTAAATAAATGTTCAAAAAATTACGTGTATTTCTTTTATAAAAGATATTATTTATTTATTTACTCATGGTAATATTTACTTGTACCATTTTTACTCTAAACAACAAAAATGGTACATGTACATTTTGTAAAAAATGTTTCAAAAAAACTAAATGTATATGATTGTAAAAACTGCACATGAAAACATTAAGAACTTACTAATAATAATATCTTGATTAGATTTTAAAATTTTGTTTGGTCTTTTTGTGCCACTACTTAAACTTTAACTCTCATTTTCTCAAAACTATCTAAATGTCACTTGTACCACTTTTCCTCTCAGCCCCTCAATTGATGCATTTAAGATATGGTTTTGGAGAAGGATGCTTCGAATATCTTGGATAACTAGAAAAACAAATAAAGGATATCCCAAAATTTACGCAAGATTTGAATTAAATAGAAAACACCGATTTTTCTTTAGACTGTAATTTTTTTATTGAATAATAAAGTACATGGGATAGGGTTATGTATGGAATAGCACATCCGGCAAATGGCCTCTACGTCTTCGTTGACATATACGCACTCATTTGTCGAAATTTTCCATGACCATTTTGCATAAATGTGGTTGAATTTCATTAATGTCGCGTTGAATTGGTCTCTTTCACTGCACGTGTGGTCGTGCCTCTTCAGCACAGATCTTCAAGGGGGCTAATTCTGATCACCGAAAGAAGGAAGTACACGACTAGGAAGTATCTCATGCTATAAGGCATGTTGCACCGTATTGTTGATACCAAGTGTCGTCCACATCCATATAGTAGAAATAACTGGGTCATCATATTGCGATATCGGGCACCAGTAATATCACTGCTTGACCAGCCTGATTTTCAAATAAGTATCGTCCAATGCTGCCTCCATCCCAAAATCAGCACCAAAGTGTTTTTTTTTCAGTAGTCTCATCAAATTTACCAATTTTGACGATTAATAAAGCCATCAAGGGTTTTAAATGCACTTCATCGTTTAGGATGATTTTGCACGAAAAATCAGCATCCACTTGTTGATGCTCAATAATTCATTACACGAACTCTCCGCTATTTATGTTCATTAGGCTTCAGTTCTTGTGTCAATTAAAATTTGTAAGTATGAGGAAAACTCCGCCTTCGGTAAGTACTGGGTGAATTGAGTAGCTCAGTAAATGCCGATGCCGGTCCCAAGCCCGGATAAAGGAGGAGGGTTGAGGCGATGGGCTAGCAACTCGTCCCTTGTCAAAAGAAATTAATGCTAAAAATTTCGACCAAAAGCCTCGGAATACAAAGGATGGATCAACACAAAGACGACTAATGCAACGAAAAAGGAAAATGATATTGGCTACATGGAATGTACAAGGACTGAGAACCAAACAAGCAGAAGTATTCAAAGAATTAGCGGAAAGAAAAATAGATATATGTGTTCTCACAGAAACCAAGAAAAAGGGAAAAGGAAATGAAGAGATAGGAGAATATATACATATCTACAGCGGAGTGAGTAAAGATAACAGAGCTAAGAGGGGAGTCTCTATTGCCATTCGAAAAAATCTTAAAAACAACATTAAATCGTGGACTGAAGTAAATGAACAACTACTAATACTGGAAATGAAAAAGAATGGGCACAATATCGTAATTGTCGGAGTATATGCCCCAAACGAAGATGCAAATCCAGAAAGTAAAGACGATTT